CCCTTCAGGAAGCTTGTTATTGACGAGTTTTTTATTTTATTCAAAGGAAGAGACTCATTCAAGCAATACATACCAAGCAAGAGGAAACGCTTTGGTATAAAGTTATTTGTACTGTGTGATTGCAAAAGTGGTCTCGTTTTGGATATCGTTGTGTACACTGGCAGTAATACATTGAGAGATACCAGGAAGTTATTGGGTATCTCTGGTGATGTGGTTCGAACAATGATGGAACCATATCTTGGTAAGGGGCATATATTATATACTGATAACTGGTACACAAGCCCCATACTCGGTGATTTCTTGCGAGTGAACCTGACAGACGTGTGTGGCACAGTGAGTGGTAATCGTAAACATATGCCAGGGCTCAACGTTGGCACTCACAGAGGTGAGGTGTAGGCCTTTGCTGCCAATGACATCATGGCATTTCGGTGGCATGACAAACGTGATGTCACATTGTTGACATCAGTTCACCGAAACGAAATGGCACACACTGACAGGCACAACAGAGAGACCAATGAACCCCTTCTAAAACCTGCAGCTGTCATGGACTACAACCTCAATATGCACTTAGTGGACAAATGTGACATGCAGATTGGGTTTGCTGATTGTGTACGCAAGAGTTATAAGTGGTATATAAAACTTTTTTTCCATCTTCTTGATATTTCCATGCTAAATGCTTATAACATATACAAGTTGAGGACCAACAACAAACCAAAATATGGTGAATTTTGTTTGTCAGCCATTAGACAAATAATCGCCAAGTACCAAGGAGCAACACCTGCAATAGACCAGCGCCCACGAAATTATCAACACATGCCATCTCGTTTGAGGCCTGGTGATCACTACCCCATATAACTGCCTCCTACTGCTTCCAAGAAAAGTGCTCAGAAGGTGTTTTGTATGTGGACGTACCACAAAATGCCCACAAACATGCAGAGACACTCGTTTTATGTGTGAGGAGTGTCAAGTACCACTCTGCATATACCCATGTTTCAAAGAGTTCCACAAGCTGCAGCAGTTCTAGGAAGGTATTCAGTGACTGTACATTTTTTTTTTTTCAACAAGTCGTGTAAACAAGTTTTATACACAATCTAATAGTGATAATGTTTGTTCATTTATTGTGTTGTAAACAATGAGTGTATATTTGAACACTGCACCTTACTTTGGTCTCACAGGCCACATAAGTTACTTAGAAAAGAAAAATATTGGAAAATACAAGAAACCTTCAACTTGGAGTAAATAAAAGAATACAGGGTGGGTGGGATCTGCCACTGTTGCCATACGCCGCTCATTTTCTGCCAACTTTGCGCCTGTATATCTCGGTAAGTACTGATGGCAAAAAAATTTTTTAGGCTTAAAACACTCAGTAAAATAATCCTAACATTTTGGTAAGAATTTTTTTTTTTTTCGAATATTTTGCGACATAGAATGACAGTTTCAGAAAGGGGCCTACGACAGTCAAAGGGTTAAAACCCTTGCTCATCTTTCATGGGGAGTTGATCATTGAATTCTCCTTCGCCTACATTCAGCCCTCATTTTATTGAAACTCAATTATGGTGACCAGATCTATTCAGCGGCCTCTCCTGCTACTCTCTCAAACCTTAATCCCATCCATCACCAGGGATTACGTTTATGCCTTGGTGCTTTTCACTCTTCCCCTGTTGAGAGCCTCTATGCAGAAGCAAACATTCCATCCTTGTCCGATCGCCATGATGCCCATTGCCTTCGCTACTATGTTCGCTCTTATGATCTCCGCAATCTTTCCATATGTAGAATAGTCACCGATGTTAGTAGACATTCTTTACTTGGTCGTCGCCCCTGTTTGCTCCATCCCTTTTCTCTTCGCCTACATTCGATCTTGTCTTCCCTTCAGTTACCACCTTTATATGCTCATGTAGCATCTCACTTTTCCCTACCCCCCTGGGAAGTTCCAGCTGTTCAAGTCTGTTCTTTCTCACTCCCTTGTGCGAAAGCCCAACTGCCTACAGTAGCTTCCCACTCTCTTTTTCTTGACCACTTCCACTCTCATTCTCATGCCATTGCAGTATACACAGATGGTTCCAAGTCTTCTGATGGTGTCGGATTCGCAGCACTGTTTCCGGACAGTGTCATGCGAGGGCATTTACTATCCTTGGCTAGCATTTTTACTGCTGAATTGTATGCCATTCTTGCAGCACTTATACATACTGCACCTATGCCTGTGTCATCATTTATGGTCGTTTCCGACTCAGTGCTTTACAGCTATATGAAAATTTGATACACCTCACCCCCTAGTTCTTCGTATCCAACTTTGGTTATGCCATATCTCTACCAAGCATAGATATTGTTTTTTGTTGGGTCCCTGGTCATGTTGACGTACAGGGCAATGAACAGGCAGACACTGCTGCGCAGTCTGCAGTACATGACCTTCCAGTTTCATATAGAAGTGTTCCATTCACGGACTATTTTGCTGTAATAGCTACCCACCTTCACACCCGTTGGCAACAACGTTGGTCTGATCTGCTCAATAACAAACTTCATTCTATTAAACTGAGTATAGGTTACTGGCCGTCTTCTTGTCATCAGTGTCGAGGTTGGAAGACTCTCCTGTCTTCGCATTGGCCACACTTGTCTTGCTCATGGGTATCTCATGGAGAGGCACCCTGTTCCTCTCTGTGAGAATTGTCAGGTTCCAGTATCAGCCACATTCTGTAAGACTGCCCACTCTATCAACGAGCATGCAGAATTTACCTCAAACGTTGTCTCCTCTCTGCTACCATCTCTTTACCTTCCCTTCTTGCTGATGAACCCTCCATTAATCCAGACTCTCTCATTGACTTTTTGACAACAACTGATTTACTCCACAAACTCGGATGATGATACCTTTAGCACTCCCCTCAGCCCTTTCTACCTCAGTCTCTTGCTACCCTCTACCCCCGCACTATCCACTGCCCAGTTGTTCTCCGTACCCTACTAATCATCTCTCCCTTTTGCCACCCGATACCCTCGCTTCCTTCCCTGCCCTGCAGCGCTGTATAGCCAATTGTGGTTTAATGCTTCTTTTTGATTATAATAATATAATCTTGAGGGAAGACCCCCTAAAGTCAAAAATAGGAAAGGGAGAGGGAAGGGATAGGGAAAGGTGGGATGGGCAAGGGAGGAAAGTTAGGTTTGGCTCAAGCAAGAATAAACGGTCCAATTCCTTTAATCAAAAGCCTCTTCACCACTGCAAGGAATATCCCTTAAAGAGGACAGAATCGGATAGCCATTCGAAATAGGGAATTTAGTCTGCTTCATGGCTACTTTCATCGAACAGTCCATTAAATGTATGTGTTGAGCTTTAGTCCAGCCAGAAAAAATTGTCCATTTTAGCCAATATCTGCTTTATGGTAAGTCCATTTTATTAGATGTTTACTGTAGGCCTAAATTCTTAGATCAAGAGCCTGTCACCAGCATCAAAGAACCTCCTTTGAGGAATGTAAAGCTTAAAATGATTCAACATTGAAAGCTTTAGGTAATGCATTGGCTACTAATTTTATTGGATCGCTGCTTCATTTGATACTATTGATCATGGATTACTGATAATTGATCTTGGCTGTGGTTTTAGGCATACTGCATTGCCTCATAATGAAATCATATCTTTCTGGTTAGTCATATCAAGTAGTAGTCAGTGACTGTATCTGAGCTGTCAAGGGCCCCAAAGCTGTTTGTGGACTGGTATTGTTTACTTTTTTAAATTATTAACAGCTTAGCTTTACTGTTGGACATACATGGGGTTGATTTTCATTTTTTTGCTGACAATGCACAGGTGTACATCAAAGTTTTGAAAATGAAAGGTGCAAAACTCCAGTTTAGTACTCTTTTGCTGGATATTTTAACTTGGATGAAAAATAGAAATTTAAGACTAAAAAGTAAAATAGATTTCAATTATGGGGTAAATCTAAAAGAAAATACAGATTGATATTTTGGGGCTTCAGTTGTAGTGGTCAGTATGCAACCTGTTGGATCAGTAAAGGATTGGGTGTTTCCCTAAAATCTTCACTATCATTTGTTGGGAACATTAACCAGCTGTTTAATCTTACAATTTTCTTATAATCTCTAAAGTCAGAAAACATCTTGATACACAGAGTATTTGGTCCTCACCCATGCATTCCATTTTCTCTCATTAATTTTTTCAAATGTTTCTCTGAATTTTGCCAATTTACTTTCCTTAAAAGACTTCAGTCTTTACCTGAAATTGTACGCTTGCTCATTTCTTCTCCTAAAAATTACCCCTATATGAACCTGCATTGGCTCTTATCAAAACAATAATTCAATTTAAACTCTATTAACATTTAAAGTTACTAAGTTTTAATGAACCCAAGTATAGCTCTTGCTGATATGCTTGTACATTTACATCAAATCAGGAATATTTCTGCAAAATGCTGTGGACCTTTCAGACTAAACCTCATGCTGTTAGGAAGAATTTTTTTTGCAGAAAGAGCCTTTTCTTATGTGTTCCCAGACTTTATAACAAGTTACCCATCTCTCGTAAGTCAGAAATCTCTTTGTGTTTTTTAAGTCTCGGTTGAAAGTACATTTTCTTTCTAGAGCTTACAGTTTTTGATCATGATGTCACCCTTGAATATAAACTTCAGTATCTTTTTTTTTATCTCTTGAAATTATGGTTTGGTGTACACACCCTAGAAAGAACGAGTGTCCCAAAAAATTTAAAATCCCAGATTTGTTATTATTATTCACTCAACTGAATGCAAGATTCAAGCAAATGATTTAAGCAAAGTAGCAGGGGGACAGTAGCAATATGGGAGTACAAAAAAAGGGGGGATCATTAAAAGAATATATTTGCACACGAGGAGCCAAGTGTTTTTAATGGGAATTAATGAAACATTTTTTAATGAAAGTTGCACCAAAAAACAATCTCTTAAACAGTATAATTTAAATTGAAAGACTCTTAAGAATTGTCTGAAAATTATATTTGATATTAACAAATTTTACTATATTTTGTCACAAAATATTATACTTTAGATGGGGTTAATTTTGAAGTGGAGGCCAATCAAGGAGAACACAAGGCATTTTGAAGATCTTGCACCAGGTAGTAGAAAACATCGAAGTCCATCAGGATCCCTAGAGAAAAATGTATATTATTTTAATAAATTATAGTTTCCATTAGTTAATTTAAGAAAATTTCAAAAGAAAATAAAGATTGGGATGAATATAATTAATGTATTTTAACAAATAAAAATATAAAAAAAATTCCCGAACATTACACTCCCTAAAGCAAGATTCCCTACCATCTGAGAATGAGTAAAAATATTTCTAAAAAAAAAAAAAAAAAAAACCCAAAAAAGCTTTACAACATTGTCCAATTAAAAACTAACAGATCACAGCAAAGACCAAATAGCCATGGCTAACAAACGCATCCTCGGCCATTGAAAAAGAAACTTAATATAAAAAAAACAGTTCGATGAGCTTAATAACTAAGAACACACCAAAAAATATACATCAGACTTACTCTAAAAAGGGAAGTCTAAGCAACCTTTATTACACTACCGGTTAAATGAAATGGAGATTAAAAAAGACCTGAAATCCTGGACTCTTAACCCTTTGCTGTTTCGGGCCCCCCCCCCCCCTTCTCTGAAATGATTCTATGTTGCCAAATATTCGAAAAAAAAAAAAATTATTTTTTCTTAGAAAATTTTTAGGAATATTTTTAGTTGTTTTTAAGCCAAAAAAATTTTTTTTTGCCATCAGTACTTACCGAGATTAGACCCGCAAATTTTGCAGAAAGTGACGTGCGTACGGAAAACGCGGCGCCCGGGCCCCCCCCACCCGGTTTCTTTTATTTACTCTAATTTTAAAGGTTTTTCTTGCATTTTTCAATTTTTTTTTTCCCAAAAGGTTTAAACTTTGAGGCGTGAGCCCAAATGTAAGGTATTCTTCAAATTACATCATTTTTTTACAACACAATAACAGAACAAACTTAATCACTTTTAGTTTGTGTAACACTTTGTTTACACAAAAAAAAATAAAAAAACAAGTTTTTACATTGTTCCATAATTATAACATATGTACAGTCACTAAACACTTTTCCTAAAAATGCTGCAGTTGTGGAACTCTTTAAAACAGGGGTTTTAAATCCCAGGGGGGGCACTTCACACCCTCACACTAAAAAGAGTGTTCTGCGTTTTGGGGGCATTTGTGTATGCATACAAAATAGCACCTCTTCTGAGCATTTTTCTTGGCAGTATAGGGGGCGTGTAGGGGGGTGTGATCACCGGGCCCCAAAACAAGAGAGTTGTGGGCACTGATTATTGGGGAGTTGCCCCTTGGTATTTGCAATTTTTTTTGATTACTGACAGGCAAATTCACCTTTTTTGGTGTTTTGTTGGTTTTTCAACTTGTATATGTTATAAGCATTTAGTGGGAATATAAACAAGGGGAAAAAAAAGTTTTATATACCACTATAACTTTTTCGTACCGTTGCAACCCAATCTGCATTCACATTTGTCCCACTAAGCGCATATTGAGGTTGTTTCCATGACAGCGCAGGCTTTAGAATGGGTTCATTGGTTCTGTTGTCCCTGCCACTGGGGTACCTTTGTTTCTGTAAAATGATGTCAAAAATGTGACATCACGTTTGTCATGCCCCCGAAATGCCATAGTCATTGGCAGAAAAGGTTGAACCCACCTTGCGGTGCCAGCGTTGAACCTTTGGGCATATGTTTACAATTACCCCGCACTGTGCCACACACGTCGTCAAGTTCACTCGAAGAAACACAGAAGGGGTTGTGTACCAGTTATCTTAAATAACATATCCCCTTTTACAGATTGGTTCCCATATTGTTCGAACCACATCACCAGGATACCAAAAACTTCATGGACTCCAAAGTATTACTGCCAGTGTCCAAGTATCCAAAACAACCCACTTCGCAATCACACAGTACAAATAGTTTTTATCCCAAAAGCGTTTCCTCTTGTTTGGGAAATTTATTGCTTGAATGAGAGTCTTCCTTTAAAATAAATCAAAGGGTATCAATAACAAGCTTCCTGAAGGGGTAAAAATACATCAGACTTTTTTTCAGTACATAAAAACTTTCTGATCTTATATAACCTGTCGTTCTGTCAGGCCCGGTTTTGTGAAAAGTGTAACAAAATAACAGTTTAGGAAACGATTTTGACACCTAAAATTTCACAAAAATGGGGTTTTAAATCAGGCGTTTGTTGCCCAAGGGTGACAAGGTGCTTTTAAAAACATGTGGCAAAAGATTTTTGTGGCAAAAAACGGTACATCTCGCACAGTTGTCTCCTTCCACTTGTGTGCCGGATTTTTTGGGGAAGAATTTTATTTGCCCCTGGTGTAACAATAGTGTTTGTTTCCCTGCAATGATTTCCCTCAGGGGTTCTCAAAGAATAACCAAAGGTCCAGTTCAGGCATTGTTCCCAAGTGGACAAAATGGCTTTATTTTCCCCTTTTTGTTTTATCAAAGTATGGGGACTGGGAACAAACCGTCCTTCCTGCCAACCCCGACGGTCTGTGGTGGGGTCTGGGTTTGTCTGTGGTTTTGGGTTTTGGGAGGTTGTGGTGGGGCAGATTGTGGGGAGTGGGGGTAGGGTGAGGGGTTGTGTCGCGTCAGCAGGTGGGTGAGATTGGCCCCCTGATGGGCCACATGGGGCTTGCCACCCTCATATCACCACCACTTCCTCCTCCCTCACAAAAACCATTCAACCCCTCGTTACAATATTTCATTTTTCACTATAGGCGTGGTGTAGGGCCACGGGATGTGCTCCCGAGTTTCTCCTTCCCCTTGGAAAAAAAAATGAAACACTACCAGACCGCCTGCACGTCGTACATACTGCCCCTTCCCTGGGGAAAATTCACTCTTTCTGTCCGAAAAGCTTTCAAGACCTGAAAACACTATCACTATCAGCATCACGGGTGTTGCCCGATAAATAGTTTCCCTTTGTCCTGGTACAGGCGAACTGAACGTGAAAAACGCACAGCAAAAGGTGGAAGGTTGTAGGCATCTGGGTTTTTTATCACAATTTCTTATCCCGGGCCTTTCCGGTAACATCACTTCAAAAAAACCCCGGGAAATTTAAATTTTTCACTGACATTTTCATCGCTGTTTTGAGCTTTTATTGGGGGAAAAAAAGCCCCCAATCCGCCCCAGGAGTGAGGAACTTTTACCCAGAGGCATGGTGAAAAAGGACTAAAACATGGCGTCCCACAATGCACCGCGGGTCCCCCGATTTTTTTTTACAGGGGCACACCCACCACGAGACCCATTCTCTCCGTGTAGGCACCAGGCCCTTTTTCCTTTTTTGAAGCCGCTAGAATTTGTGCGTATAAATAGTCAAAACATTGGCTCGTAACGTATTTAACGTCGGAAAAAGCAAAGGGTTTAAAAAAAATCCCAAAAAACCCCCTAAAAACAGCCGACATATTAAATGATTTCTTCTCTACTAAGGGGCAAGATAGCAGCAAAATCCCCCGTTCAAATGCTTAAAGGGAAATGACTATTTTCTGGAAAGTTTTCCCAAAATCACTCTATCTAGCCCAACTAAAAATAGAAGTCACAATTTTAAAAATTCACTGAAAAACAAGAAACCTAACCAAAATTTTTTGCCCCTAAGTAAAAAAAGAGCTCATGCTTTCACCCACTAGTAAACTTTGTTCAATAAATCATTCAAAATTGGAGCCTTTCCAATACACAAATGAGGTGATCCAACTAAGGTAAATAAATATAGGCCAATATCCGGCTTGCCACTGTTACTTAAAATCTTTGAAAAAATAATTAATAATCTAGTTTACTCTTTCCCTGTGTCTCACAATATACTAAACCTCTGCCAGTTCAGTTTTAGGCCAAAATATTAAAAAAGTACAGATTATAAAAATGCTTAAACTTGACAATAATAAATGTCCTCTGTGCCTTTTCATAGACCTGCGGAAAGCTTTCGGCACAGTGGACCACAACATCCTGCATCTTAAACTAGAACATTATGGTATCAGGGGCCATCCTCTTTCATACCTAAAGTCTTGTCTTAGTTATAGACACCAATATGTCTTCATCAATGGCCTAACCTCATCAACTCAACCTGTCAACATAAGAGTGCCTAAGGGCAGTGTTTTCGGCCTTTTGCTCTTCTCATATGTACATCAGTGATCTCCCCAATGCATCTTGCCTCCTTGAACCTATTCTGTTCACTGATGACATGACTTTTGTCATTTCCCACCCAAATCCAATGTCTCTCCACAACACTTAATGACGAGCTCCTAAAAATATCTACATGGATGACTACCAACAAATTCACCCTCAATAATGACAAAACTTTTTAAAGGATATTAGGAAACAGAGCTACAAATATCCAACTAAACATAATGATCAACAGTGTTCCCATGATAAGAAACCAAGGTTAAATTCTTAGGTCTGTGCTATGACTGCAACTTGAAGTTTAATAACCACAGCCAGCACATAACCAAGGTCTCCAAAACAGTAGGCATCCTCTCCATGATACAGTGGACCCTCGACCAACGATATTAATCCGTTCCAGAGAGCTTATCTTTAGGCGAATTTATCGTTAGTCAAATTAATTTCCCCCCCCCCAAGAAACAATGGAAATAGAATTTATCTGTTCCAGACACCCAAAAGTATGAAAAAAAAAAATTTCACATGAAATATACACTTTCTTACACAGAAAAAGAAGGATACATGCACAATAAATACTGTACTAAATGAAGAATAAATGACACTTACCTTTATTGAAGATGTAGTGATGAGATGGGAGGGAGGAAGATGGAGTAGTTTACAATTGTGTGGAAGGGCAATCCCCTTCCAAAAGGACTATGTACCAAGTCCTTTTCCGGGGTTACTTCCCTTCTTCTTTTAATGCCACTGGGAACAACTTGAGAGTCAATGGACCTCTGTCGCACCAAAAATCTGTCCATAGAGCTCTGTACCTTGAGTTCCTTTAAGATTTTCCTAAAGTGGGTCTCAACATTGTCATTGTAAAAGTCAACAGCACGGCTTGCAACAGCTGTGTCAGGGTGATTTTCCTCCATAAAGGTTTGCACCTTTGTCCACATTGTACAAATTTCCTTAATCTTTGAAGAAGGGAACTTCCTCAATTTCTTTCTCCCCTCCTCTGAAGCAACTTCCTCAGTTGTGGCCTCTTGCTGTTGCAGATGCTTTTGCAGTTCATCAGTGGTTAGTTCTTCATCGTCGTCCTCCACCAACTCTTCCACATCCTCCCCACTAACCTCCAACCCCAAGGACTTCCCTAATGCCATAATAGATTCCACAACTGGCATAGGCTTCTCAAGGTTAGCTCCAAACCCTTCAAAATCCCTCTCTTGTACACATTCTGGCCACAATTTCCTCCAAGCAGAGTTCAAGGTCCTGTTAGTCACTCCCTCCCGAGCCTTACCTATAAGGTTTATGCATCTGAGGATACTAAAGTGATCTTTCCAAAACTCTCTTATCGTTAGTCAATCGAGTGTCTGAGGTCACTTCAAAGCACTTTTGAAACACTGCTTTGGTGTACAGTTTTTTGAAATTTGAAATGACCTGCTGGTCCATGAGCTGGAGGAAAGGAGTGATATTAGGAGGCAAGAATTTCACTTTGATAAAACTCAACTCCCCCGAAATTCGCTCTGGCAACTCTGAAGGATGAGAAGAAGCACTGTCTAATACCAGGAGGCACTTAAGGTCCAATTTATTTTCCAGGAGGTAATTTTTCACAATGGGGCCAAACACACGATAAAACCCATCACAGAAAATATCCAGTGACCCACGCCTTACTGCTTGCCCTCCACATTACACACAAATTAGCCTTGACGACATTGTTTTTCTTCAACACACTGGGAGTTTCAGAGTGATACACGAGTAAAGGCTTCACTTTGCAATCCCCACTAGCATTACTACTGTTTAGCATTTTCTTCCAAAACAGGCCTGTTTTGTCACAATTAAACACTTGTTGGGGTTTGAATCCTTCAGCCTCTATATACCCTTGGAATTCCTGCACATATTTTTCAGCCGCTTTCTGGTCCGAACTGGCAGCCTCACCATGCCTTACCACACTGTGTATGCCACTACGATTCTTAAATCTCACAAACCAACCTTGCCTTGAATTCAATAACATCACCACTAGTTGCAGGCATTTTTTCAATTAAATCCTCATGCAACTGCCTTGCCTTTTCACATATGATTGATTGGGAAATACTATCTCCTGATATGCTGTATAGCCCTTGTGGCTTAGCGCTTCTTTTTGATTATAATAGTAATAATAACTCCTGATATCTGTTTTTCATTTATCCACAACAACAACAGTCTCTCAACATCTTCGAGTACTTGTGATCTCTGTTTCGAAAACATACTTGCACCTTTTGCAACAACAGCTTCCTTGATTGCCTTTCTGTTGACGAAGATAGTAGCGATGGTTGATTGGGGTTTGTTATACAACCTGGCCAGCTCGGAGACATGCACTCCACTTTTGTACTTTATTATTTCCTTCTTCATATCAATTGTAATTCTCACCCTTTTTACCACAGGGTTGGCACTAGAAGCTTTCTTTGAGCCCATGGTGGCTTATTTAGCAGTTACAAGCACTAAAAACACTGGAATACAAAATGTACCTAATGTATGCGTGGAAGCGACCGCACTAGCTTGTAAACACTGGCAAACTAACTGCAGGCAGGGCAGCTAACGTGCACTCAGGCCAGACGGACACATGGATGCGTTCATGACAAATGATGTTAGTCGAGTTTTTCTTGGTTGGTCAGGCCAAAATTTTTATGCTGAAACACTTCTTTAGGTGATTTTTTTTGTTAGATGATGCCTTCGTTGGTCAGGGGTCCACTTTAGTTTACTTACATTGTACTACTCTCTAATCTATCTTATGTCACCTACAGTATTTATGCTTAGGGATATACTATGTCAAATCGTCTAAAGCCAACAACTCCACAAAAAACTACTGTGTGACCGATTACCCAATCCAGTGTTAGACAACAGTGCCCTCCACTGTTCAAAAGCTTGAACTTACTTAATGTTACTTTCAGTGCCCTTTAAAAAAAAATATTTTTTCTTCTAAGGTAATGATACCAAAAGTATGAATTTCTTTTGGAAAACTAATGGAATTAAGCAGGTGCAAAGTAAGCAATCTGGGTAAAATTTACACATCGGCAATTTTCCCAAATTCAAATCCTATTTTAAGTCAATTCCATTGCTCCAATTGACCAAATTCTTAGCTATTTTGCTAGTATGCCTTCTATTCTATCAACTGAGCACAAGAAATCGCCCATTCAATTAATATTACAACTATCCTATAACGTGCCAAATTTACACAAAATTAAAAAAATACATTAGAAGCTCATGCTAGACTGTACTATTTCCTTTTGCATGCATTGAGGTAGAGGAGATAATGTTCTTGGATCACATAGTGACTGAAACACATCGTCATTACATTATTCATAAAAATGCACCAATTGTTCTAGATATACACATATTTATACAGCATACTGAAGCAGTTTTCAGTAATTTTCATACTTGGAATTGTTAACATCAACCAGTGAACCAATCTTGGAGGTTGTAAAGGAAATATGCTCATCACCAATGACAATTTCTAGCTCCTGCCGTCCCACACGGTCTGGCTGTGGCCAGAGAGCATCATCTTCTTGCATTATTTCAGAATCATCAATAATTCTCTTCAATTCTTCCATGACACATCGATGGCAATAAGCCTGTAAGGAGCAATGATCATATTAAAACATACATACATACTAAACCATGAAAAATAAAAATCATAATGGCATGCTACAGTCAATCCTGAAACAAAATTATATCACAGGTGAGAAAGGAAAAAAGAAAAACTTAAAAGTTAAGCCTGGGTAATGGAAAGTTAGAAGACAGCCAGACAGGAAAGTTTCATGGTTTAATTGGCTATGTCTTGGTGTCACTTGTCACTAGTGAAATGGAGATGATTTTGGTTAGTTTCAGATCAAGAGTGACCTGAAATTGGCCTCAAAGTGGTGAAAATATTTGATTTTTGGCAATATTCTTGAGGAAGGGAATTGGGGCCTCCTTTCTCCCCCAGTCTGTCTTCAGTTATTGGGATGCCCTAAACCATGACCAATCATTCTTGGCTATATGTATTTTATTAGCCAAGAAATAGGGTAAAACTTCAGTTTCTTGTGACGAGTGACTTAAAATGGAGGGTGTTATATAGTAGAGGATTGGGGACATGATTAATGAACATAGGAAAGGTTGCTTTAGTCACTGGAATGCCTACAATGTTTATGTTTTACCATTTTTAAATTTGAATTTGTAGAATTTTGTGCAAAAATTGGCCAAATTACTGAATTCTGGGCACTGTAAAGAGTTGTTTTGATAGTTGAATTAGCAGTTTGTTGTGCTCAATTCATAGAGGGAAGGTATAATACCAAATCAGCCTGGAATTGGGTAGTTTGAACAATAGAATTGGCCTAAAATAGGCCTCAAATTGGGCAAAATGCATGATGCATAAATTGTGCCCAGACTACCAACTTCAAGCCTGCACAAGTCTAAGTTTTACATCATTACTTGTGTCATTACCTTTAGAAAAAAAATTTCTACCATTTTAGATATTTTTTTTTTAAACTGTGACAGTGAAAAGATTAACAATGCATAATAAAAAATATGTAGACAAATGATATACAGGTAATTAACCTTTTAATAGTAACCTACCTCTTTCCGAATCATAACATCATTCTTGTAATTTGAGTTGTTAGCATATCGAAGCTTCCCTGAGGAAAAGTAATAAAAAATTAAATCAACAACATATGTAGCAGTGATGGGTAGTGGGTGATTGGTTGGTGGTGGTTGTAGTTATGGTAAAGGTGGTAGTGGGTTGGTTTGTGGCAAGGCAAAGGGGGACTGGGTTGTTGGTGGCCCCATGACTCCAAAACAACAGGTATTAGTACCAACAAATAAAGCTTCCCAACAAACAAGCAATATGACATCATTTATGTTTGCAAATATAGAAGGGCTAAAGCTATCTTCCAACAACAAAATACCTTTCAACAGTGGACCTCTCAAAGTGTGGCTTTCACAGAAACCCACAAAAAGAGTTCACTTTGACTACAAAATATGGATACCAGAGTACAATTTGTCTAGATGTGACAGAAAACACAAGCAACAAGGGGGTTTGGTCTGTATGTCACAGAGTCACTCATTTGCACAGAGTTACTAAACACCATAAATGATGCAGTTGAAGTTTTGGAAGTAAAGAATGAGAACCAAAACCTAGTCATTGTGATTGCTTCCTCCATCATTTATTTTTCTACATTAAGTTAGGTTAGACTAGGTAAGTAATGAAAGATCGTGGAGTAGTTCAGGTGCATGTGGGTCAGCATTGTTGGCGAGTCTGCAACCAGCAAACCAGCCACCCACCACTGCCGAGTCGTTCAGTGCATCATTATTATTATTTTGCGTTGTTACGTCCAAAATGTTGATAAATAACAATTTCCACAACAGATAAATGTGTTTCTTACGTTATTTATATGGATATACCATGGTTAAGCGTGTGACACGTTGATGGGGTTTTGTCTTAGGAATAAAGGACACAATGACCAAATCATCATCATCTGGGTTAATTATCCAACAGAAAAAGTACACAAAGCCAAAATAATGCCTTAATAACATCAATTTTACATGTGAATAATGATTTTTATGCAAAATGTAATAAGATTTTCTTTGGATTTTTAACCCCAGAGGGTTAGCCACCCAGGATAACCCGAGAAAGTCAGTGCATCATCAAGGACTCTGTCTTATTTCTATTGGGGTCCTTCAATCTTGTCCCCCAGGATGCAACCCACACCAGTCCACTAACTCCCAGGTACCTATTTGCTTGCTAGGTGAACAGGGACAGCAGGTGTAAGGAAACATGCTCAATGTTTCCACCCAGCTGGGGATTGAACCATGGACACCGTGTGTGAGGTAAGAGCGTTGCCAACCGAGCCACAGGACACTGGTACTGATATGTTCACAAATTTCTTCATAAAACAGGTGTATGTGGATTACTTATTTGAATAACACCTTAAACATAATCATGTACTAAATACAATAATGGTTAATATGATTTTACAGCTTACAAACTACACTAAGGTCATTAATTAAGGCTTTTCACCACCACATGAGAATGATGTCTAAAACTGGGATTAAAGTAAACTCTTAACATATAAACACTGAGAGAAAAACTTCTCGGTGTATTTACATAGTCAATAATTATTATTATAATCAAGGGGGAGTGCTAAACCTGTTGGAATATACAGCGCCTGTGGGGGGGATGTGGCAGGTATTCAGGCTTAAAAACCATACCCCCGGCCGGGATTGAACCCGTGGTCATAAGAGTCTCAAAACTCCAGCCCGGGTTGCGGGTTCAATCCCGGCCGGGGGTATGGTTTATTTGCAATCGTGTCATTACGATTTCTTAAGTCAAGTCGTATTCAGGCTTAGTTCTGGTAACTGGTGGTTAACGCTCTCGCTTCACACGGTGAGGGCCTGGGTTCAATTCCCAGCCAGATTAGAAACATTGGACGTGTTTCTTTCCACCTGTTGTCTATGTTCCCCATCAGTAAAATGGGTACCTGGGTGTTAGTGGACTGGTGTGGGTCGCATCCTGGGACACTGACCTAATTTGCCCGAAATGCGGAGCATAACAAGGGACTTTCTAGATAGTAGTATGTCATTGTTATCAGCTAGGACTGTATACCCTGTACATGTACTTGTAGTAAAATAAAGATATTATTATTATTATTATTATAGATCAAGAGCCCGTAACCAGCGTCAAGGAACCTTACTTGAGGGGATTGTGTCAATACATAATTTTCTCCACCATTCTTCTTGTACATTAAATTGACTCACCATCTGGCCTGAATTCGAATTCAAGAAACTCGTGACCAAATTTTCCCTTGTGGCCGACATAGTATCTTATATAGAAGTCACTGGAGGACATAATGTAATGGTGTTGTTGTTGATGATGAACAATGTCAGCAGCAGCAGCAGCAGCAGCAGCAGCAGCAGCAGCAGCACAGGCGTCACTCACTCTCAACTCGCTCTCTTTTTCCTTACTTTATTTACCATAAATTACGGAAATATTCTTTGTAAATTAAACAAAAATGCAGTAAATATATTTACTTATATTTGCTCATATTTAATAATGTAAATTAAATTAATTTTTTTTTTTGTAAATGTCACCGGCATTATTTTGGTTATCCTAGGTAATTTACACTGAATAAAATAAAGACAGTTGTACTTATGCCTAAGTAAATTAAAAGAAGTTTAAACATGAACAAATACAAGTCACCATGCCATAGGATCGTCTCGCTAGCAAAATTCCAAGCACCAATACCCGAGCCAGTGATTACTTAGATATAAACTTCCCAACACGTATCCCAGACATAACCCAACACCTGAAACCCATTCTCTTTGCTGACGACACGACTTATGCCATCTCTCACCCTAATCTTGCCACCCTCAACACCATTGTTAACGAGGAGCTGATCAAAATATCGACTTGGATGACAGCCAATAAATTTACACTTAACACTGGCAAAACCTACTGTATTATGTTTGGTAGCAGAGCAGGTGTTGCGCAACTTAACGTTAAGATCGACAACACTCTAATTGCCAGACATAATGAGGGCAAATTCCTAGGCCTATACCTCGACAACAACCTGAACTTCAGCACCCATATCCAACACATAACCAAAAAAGTATCCAAAGCGGTTGGGATCCTCACCAAGATAAGATAAGATAAGATTTCGTTCGGATTTTTAACCCCGGAGGGTTAGCCACCCAGGATAACCCAAGAAAGTCAGTGCGTCATCGAGGACTGTCTAACTTATTTCCATTGGGGTCCTTAATCTTGTCCCCCAGGATGCGACCCACACCAGTCGACTAACACCCCAGGTACCTATTTGCTGCTAGGTGAACAGGACAATAGGTGTAAAGAAACGTGTCGGAATTTCCACCCGCCGGGAATCGAACCCGGGGCCCTCCGTGTGTGAAGCGGGAGCTTTAGCCACCAGACCACCGGGCCACCTAAACGATACTACGTGCCGCAAAATGCCCTTCTCACACTATACCACTCACTTATTTATCCATACCTCACCTATGCTATCTGTGCTTGGGGATCAACTGCAGCAACACACCTAAAGCCAATAATAACCCAACAAAAAGCCGCAGTAAGAATAATCACTAAATCCCATCCCTGGCAACACCCCCCCCCCCACTCTTCATAGATCTAAACTTACTCCCTGTTCAGTACATCCACACTTACTACTGTGCAGTCTATACCTACAGGACCTTAAATTCCAATATTAACCTTGACCTAAAATGCTTTCTTGATAGTTGTGACAGAACCCACAGGCATAACACCAGACACAAACATCTCTATGACATTCCCCGTGCCCGACTAAACCTTTACAAAAATTCAATGTATGTCAAAGGCCCTAAAATCTGGAACACCCTACCTGAAAACTCAAGAACTGCAGACACATTCATCACCTTCAAAACTACCATCAGAAAACATCTTATCTCCCTGATACACCCCATCAACTAACTACACGAATACCACCTGGTGGTTCACACTTACACTCACTCACCCATTTGACCATAAACAGAAATATCAATCTCAATCTTAAAATAATGAATCCTAACTAGTCATAAGTTTGCCTGTGATACTCCAATACTGAAACTATGTACTGTGCCAAAACAAAAGCATTCACATTGCTAAACTCCCAAACTAGTATTTAGTCACTTAGCCATAATACCAACTTACCTCATAATTTGTAATATTTTAAATTTAAGAATTAATCTAAGTCTGCCCGAAATGCCTAGCCATGCTAGGTGTTCTAGTGGTAGACTCTGTAATTATTATTTTACTACATGTAAACCACACAATAACCAAATTCTGTAAACTCAGCATTGTAATCCTTATAGAGAATAAACTTTGAATTTGAATAGGATGAGCAAGGGTTTTCACGATAAACTAGCTACTCAATACCCAATACCTCTATAACAAGCACTGCCCTAAAAAAACTAAACAGATGACAGCTAAGAGACTGAACAGTCCCTGGCTAACACCCAGCATTCTCAAATCCATAAATACAAAACACCGATATGAAAAACAGTACAGAATGGGTCACAACCAGAGACCAAACAAAACGTTACTCGTCAGTCCTAACCAGCCTGATAAGAAGGGCAAAAAAAATGTATTATGAGAACAGATTATCCAACTTACGAGGTGATATAAAAAAAGACCTGGAAGACCCATCAAAATTCTGGGAAAAAAAAAGTATCCGAAATACGAAATAAAATTAAAAATCAGATAAACCCCCAACTCCCCCCCAACAGAAACGCAACAGTAAATGATTTTTTCCCCCCAAAGGCCCCAAAACCCTTGCCAATAAAATCCCAAGTCAGATACCCCCCCAAAATGACTCCCTGCTGGCAACTCCCAAAACACATTTTTCCTAGCCCCGACTAACCCTACGAATTTCCCCCTTTTTACAACACAAAAAAAAAAAACAAGGCGGGGAATTTAAATCCTTACCCCCCTTTATATACAAAAAAAAGTGTCACAATTTCAATCACCTCTTGCAACACTCTTTAAAAAATCCATTGAATCCCCACCCCCCTACATTCTCAAATAGAAAGGGGTAAACCCCGACCATAAAGGAGGGCCCAAAACAGAGTTGAATAAACTAAGCCAATACCCAATTTACACCCTCTCAAAAATCTTCGAAAAATTAATTCATAAACGAATCTACCCCAACCAATCTCCCAAAACATAAAAACCCCTGCCATTTGGATTCAGGCCTAATAAAATTTTAAAATGATGTTTAACACAGCGAAAAATTACCTGCAAAGAGAAAAAGAATCCCATGGGGATCTTCAGTGACTTCGTAAAGCTTTTGATACATTGACCATGACTTACTCCACGTAAAATGTCACACTATGGTATAAGGGCACTCCCTCAACTCCTCAAGTCTACCTCGCAACAGAACCCAATATGTGTATGAAAAGGGGCAAGCTTTTCCCGCAAAACCTTAGTTGGTTCCCACGGGAAGTGTCCTTGGCCCTTTCTTTTCTCCTATCATAAAGCATCCCAAAATGCTTCGAAATTTCTCAAACCCCACTTTTTGCAGATGACACTACATACGTCTTCTCTACCCACCCAGTCACGCTACCCAATACTGTAAATATCAATTCAAAAAATATCTCCCTGGTAGGATTAACAAACTTACACTAAACATTGAAAAAACCTACTTCTTCAGTTTGGTAACAGAGCACAGATGTCCCCTTTTAAACATAACGAAAAATGGTCACCTATCACAAAGCAAAAGGGGGAAAAATTCTTGGAAATCCACCTTAAAAATAGACTAAAATTTTCATAACTATAAAACAAATTTCTAAGAAAATTTAAAATACTGGGCATACTACAAAAGTAGGGTATTATGCTCCACAGTAGCCCTCCTGGCCCTTTATCACTTTTTTTTACCCCTTTCTCCCCTATGGTTTTTTGTGCAGGGGGCTCAACAACAATTAACCATCTCAGCCCACAATTTTCCCAAAAAAAAGGTGCGTTAGAATGATAAAAAATTCTTACCAGGCGCACACTCCCCCAATATTTAAAACATCAACCTACTCACCATAAAAAACATCCATATTATTATTGCATCTATTTTATAATAGAAACTTAACTCTGTATTAACCCTCCCCCCCAAACATCTTTCCAACCTCAACAGAAAAATGCCCCAAAAACAAGGCACAGATCATCTTTGATGTTCCTCGTGTCCATCTCCACATGCAAAAAATCAAAAACATAAAAGGCCCTAAAACTGGAATTCTTACTGTAATATAAAAAAAACACTACCCGTTTTATAAATTCAAGTCCCTTCCAAAGATACTTTCTCACCAAAACCAAATAAATACTGAAAAACTGAACTTATAAATTGTATATCCTAAATGTTACTCACAATTATTTCACATAAATGTTTAAAAACCCAGGACCCCAAACTAAATTTGTTATTTTTTTTAAAACACTACCTAACAGAAACTCCATTTACTGAATGTACCAATGCTGCAACCAATGCCGTCTTTGTAATACTCGTTTGTTCTTTATTTTCTGTTTTCAATAATGTCTTTCACTGATTTTATCATTTCTTTGTTAAACCCAAATTATTTTAAGCCCCCCGTAATGCAAAGATATAAGCGGCTTTGGCATGCTGTCTTACCTGTAGTATGCTAAAATCTGTGAACAACAACCAGGGCCATAAAATTTCAACTTAGGGGCCTTTAATAACATAAAACTTCGAAGGAAAAAGTTTGGGCTTTTTGGGCTTTGGCCAACCTTCGGGGTGTGGACGGCTCCTTTTGAGTATAGGTGATAAATTTCACCCGTCCCCTTAGGGCACTTGTCCTCATTTTTTGCCCGCGGAGCACAATACAGGAGGGCACCCCGGTCATGGCCTTAAGATAAGATAAGATAATTTCGTTGGATTTTTTTAAACCCCGGGGGGGGTTGCCACCGGTAACCCAAGAAAATCGTGCGTCAGAGGACGGTCAACTTTTTTCCATTGGGGTCCTTTAAACTTGTCCCCCCCGGATGGACCCCCACCGTCGACTAACACCCAGGTACCCATTTGCTGCTAGGTAAAAGGACAACAGGTTGTAAAGGAAACGTGTCGAATGTTTCCACCCCCCGGGGGGGGGGAAACCCGGGCCCCCCGTGTGTGAAGCGGGCTTTAGCCACCAGGCCACCGGGCCACCACTTACTTTTAGCCAACTCCATTTCTCCACTCTGCGGATGATAATAATATCTTTATTTACTACAAGTGCATGAACAAGGTATACATGCCTAACTGACATCAATGACATACTATTATATAGAAAGCCCCTTGTTATGCACAACATTTCTGGCAAATTAGGTCATTGTCCCAGGATACGACCCACACCAGTCGATTAACACCCAGGTACCCATTTTACTGATGGGTGAACTATGACAACTGATGTAAAGAAACACGGCAATGTTTCTACCCGTGCTGGGAATCGAACCTGGACACTCACCGTGTGAAGCGAGAGTTTTAGCTGGTTACTGAACTCGCCATACCACGGGTGGGGATAGAACCCGCGATCAGAGAGTCTCAAAACTCCAGACCGTCGCGTTAGCCACTGGACCAGCTAGCCACAGTAAGATTCGTCCAACTAGGTATATTTCTACACCATAGGAAGGTTAGCATAGGCACAACTGTGACCACAAATGCAAGTTTTTACAGATGAATCTCCAGCTAGCGTGGCCGTGACGAACTCTAGCTCAAGTCCCCTCAAAGCCGTCAACATGACTCACGAAATCGTAATGACACGATTGCAAACAAACCATACCACGGACGGGGATAGAACCCGCGATCAGAGTCTCAAAACTCCAGACAGTCGCGTTAGCCACGGTCTGGTATGGTATGCAATAGTGTCATTATGATTTCGTGAGTCATACTGAACTCGCTCTGCTGGGGCTTGGCAAGGTGGTCCACCTGCAGCGCTGTATAGCCCTTGTGGCTTAGCGCTTCTTTTTTATTATAATAATAATAAGGTGGTCCACCGGATCTAATCTGAAACTTCAAGTTTTTATCTCTATTTACAAAGGAACTTTTGTTTCTTGTCTCTCATCGCCCAGCTCTGGGCAACAATTTTTTCTCGTACCATCGAGAAACCGGGCTCGATACGGCTTATGCTGTCAGTGGCCCTGATAAACCCAACAGAGAAAGAAAGAAAGAAACCACAGGAATATGTTCAGATTAAAAAAGTCGTTTTTCCCGGCTAGACCACAACCACCCAGCTGGGAACAAATGGAAGAAGACCTTAAGTCTGCCACAGATTCTGACATAATTTTCTGTCTCTCGCCAAACACAGCAGGTATGATGACTGAACTAAGGTAAACATAATTTGTAGGTCTCAAAAGTGTGGAACGTCAGTGTAGTAAGTTTATTCAGGTATAGGTACACATAAATTATCATGCAGAAGGAAAATGTAGAATATAACTTTGGTATATCAGTGTCTAGCATTAGGAATAATATTAGGAGAGAAGTAAATAATGAAAATGATTGTTATAGGAATGCAGTTAGAAGCCTGAGTAGATCTATAACCCACTATGATAACATGAACGTAGATAAGTATGTTTATGGGTGGCCTGGTGGCTAAAGCTCCCGCTTCACACACGGAGGGCCCGGGTTCGATTCCCGGCGGGTGGAAACATTTCGACACGTTTCCTTACACCTGTTGTCCTGTTCACCTAGCAGCAAATAGGTACCTGGGTGTTAGTCGACTGGTGTGGGTTGCATCCTGGGGGACAAGATTAAGGACCCCAATGGAAATAAGTTAGACAGTCCTCGATGACGCACTGACTTTCTTGGGTTATCCTGGGTGGCTAACCCTCCAGGGTTAAAAATCCGAACGAAATCTTATCTTATCTTATCTCTTATGGAGCAACTTTTGGATCTGTGCTCCAGTTCCCCGAATTAAGCCTGAATGCCTTCCACATCCCCCCCCCCCCAGGCGCTGTATAATCCTCCGGATTTAGCGCTTCCCCCTTGATTATAATAATAATATGGAGCAACTTGCAATGTGAACAGACTGACTGATGTTGTAGTGGCCAGGCTTAGGCTTGGTTACAAGTACTGACTGATGTTGTAGTGGCCAGGCTTAGGCTTGGTTACAAGTACTGACTGATGTTGTAGTGGCCAGACTTAGGCTTGGTTACAAGTACTGACTGATGTTGTAGTGGCCAGGCTTAGGCTTGGTTACAAGTACTGACTGATGTTGTAGTGGCCAGGCTTAGGCTTGGTTACAAGTACTGACTGATGTTGTAGTGGCCAGGCTTAGGCTTGGTTACAAGTACTGACTGATGTTGTAGTGGCCAGGCTTAGGCTTGGTTACAAGTACTGACTGATGTTGTAAATGGCCAGGCTTAGGCTTGGTTACAAGTACTGACTGATGTTGTAGTGGCCAGGCTTAGGCTTGGTTACAAGTACTGACTGATGTTGTAGTGGCCAGGCTTAGGCTTGGTTACAAGTACTGACTGATGTTGTAGTGACCAGACTTAGGCTTGGTTACAAGTACTGACTGATGTTGTAGTAGCCAGGCTTAGGCTTGGTTACAAGTACTTCTGGCAGTTTGGGAGACACACAGATGATGATCAAACTAAATGTAAATTATGTGATCAGGCATATGGTCACTCTCTTGAACACTATGTGCTTAATTGTCCACTTATTGAGGAATACAGAGATAGACAGTATAATAACCTATGTGACATGTCAAGATATCTTATTAATGAAAATAATTTACCAGATATACTAAGCAAATTTCCTAAATTTGCTTGTAACAGATAACTGTATAACAGATAACAGATATGTGTATTCCTGTTAACCCTTTGGGGCCTAGTTCCTAGGCCTTTTGTGTATCCATATGCTCTTGTGCTACCGTCCACAGGATGGATATGGGGTGCACAATAAACTAGCCACTTTGGTGGCAAAATTAAATCATTCATAGTAGCATATGTGTAGATTTCCTAGGATAACCCAAAAGAGTTAGTCAAAGTGACTTAATTCCATTGGGGTCCTTGTAATATCTTATTATTTAAATCATAAAAGTTAAAACATCTAAGTAACTCATCTGTGTGTGGCTCTGATAAACCCAACAAACAAACAGACTCAACTATGTGAAAAGCAGTTACAATAAAAGAAATAAAAGAAGATATATACTAAGAATCAGGTTAACCAAATTGTTTACATATAGAGAGCACATCAGATCAAAGTAATAGGTACATGTATGTTAGCTATACAAGAAATTACACTCCTCCCTTTCTGTAGTTACATTCACTATAGAGAGGGAGCATGGACACGGGTCGTCCCACAGCTGCTAAAAATAACAGACATAGCCCCACTCCACAAAGGGGGCAGTAAAGCAATAGCAAAGAACTACAGACCGATAGTGCTAATGTTCTCTATCATAAAAATCTTTGAAAGAGTTCTAAGAAGCAACTAGATACCCATCAGTTCCACAACCCAGGGCAACACGGGTTTAGAGCAGGTCGCTCCTGCCTGTCCCAACTACTGGACCACTATGACAAGGTCCTGGATGCTCTAGAAGACAAACAAAATGCAGAAGTAGTATGCACAGACTTTGCAAAAGCCTTTGACAAGTGTGACCATGGTGTAGTAGCGCACAAAATGCGTGATAAAGGAATAACAGGAAAACTTGGTAGATGGATCTATGTTTTCTTAACAAATAGAACACAGAGTAGTAGTAAACAGAGTAAAGTCTGAGGCAGCTACAGTGAAAAGCTCTGTTCCACGAGGCACAGTACTCGCTCCCATCTTGTTCCTCATCCTCATATCTGACATAGACATGGATATAAGCCACAGTGCCGTGTCTTCCTTTGCAGATGACACCCGAATTTGCATGACAGTGTCCTCCATTGAAGACACTGCAAGACTCCAGGCAGACATAAGAAAGAAGGAACACTGCAACAGGCCTACTGGCCCATGCGAGGCAGGTCCAAGTCTCCTACTGGCTTAAGCCAATACCCCAACCTAGTCACCTAGTCAGGTCAGGTCACATTCACTTAAGGAAGGAACATGGCAACTGACCTAGTAGCACAAGCTGATCAGGTCCATCTCACACCCACTCATGTATTTATCTAACCTATTTTTAAAACTACACAACGTTTTAGCCTCTATAACTGTACTCGGGAGTTTGTTCCACTCATCCACTACTCTATTACCAAACCAGTGCTTTCCTGTATCCTTCCTGAATCTGAATTTTTCCAACTTAAAACCATTGCTGTGAGTCCTGTCTAGGCTAGATATTTTCAGCACGCTATTTACATCCCTTTTATTTTTTCCTGTCTTCCATTTATACACCTCAGTCACATCCCCCCTAATTCTACGCCTTTCTAGAGAGTGCAGATTCAAGGCCCTTAGTCTATCCTCATAGGGAAGATTTCTGATACATGGGATCAACTTTGTCATCCTCCTTTGTACATTTTCCAGAGCATTTATATCCATTCTGTAATACAGTGACCAAAACTGTGCAGCATAATCTAAATGAGGCCTAACCAAGGATATATAGAGTTGAAGAACAACCTGAGGTCTCCTATTATTTATGCTTCTTGATATGAAGCCAAGAATTCTGTTAGCTTTATTGCGAACACATATGCACTGTTCCTTGGTTTAAGATTACTGCTAACCAGAACTCCTAAATCTTTTTTGCAATCTGTAATATTAAGATCTACATTATTTAGTTTATATGTGGCATAGTTATTTTTCTGTCCAACATTTAGAACTTTGCATTTGTCTATATTAAACTGCATCTGCCACTTCTCCGACCACTGCATCAGTCTATTCAAATCTTTTTGGAATGCTCTAATGTCCTCGTCAGAATGAATTCGACGGCCAATTTTGGTGTCATTGGCAAACTTGCTTATGTCTCTCTTTATGCCCTCATCATGTCGTTTATGTAGATTATGAACAACAGGGGGCCCAACACTGACCCCTGTGGAACACCGCTCATGACTCTTCCCCACTATGAATTCTCCCCATTTATGCAAACTCTTAGCTGCCTATTTGTCAACCATGAATCTGTCCAGGAAAAAATTTCTCGTATTCCATGTGCCTTAATTTTCCTCAATAGTCTCTGATGTGGGACCCTGTCAAAAGCCTTACTGAAGTCCATATACACAATATCATATTCATTACCATGATCTACCTCTTCAAATACCTTAGTGAAAAAAGTTAATAAATTCGTAAGGCAGGAACGCCCCTTTGTAAAACATTGCTGAGATTCGTTGATTAATTTATGCTTTTCAAGGTGGCTACAAACTGCCTCGGCAATTATTGATTCCATAAATTTTCCCACAATGGAGGTTAGGCTTATTGATCTATAGTTTGAAGCTAAGGACCTGTCACCTACTTTGAAAATAGGTATCACATTTGCCATTTTCCACTTATATGGCACCATGCCAGTTTGTAGTGATATGTTGAAAAGATTAGCCAAAGGTTTGCTAAACTCCTCTTTACATTCGTTTAGAACCCTTGCCTACAGTTCATCAGGACCATGTCACTTGTGACCCTGTTCTACATAATTTATTATTTCTGGAATATCGCTAGTATCTTCCTGTGTAAAAAATGGGCCGCAGAAAACAACATGAAGTTTATTGATGAGAAATTTCAATTACTCCAATATGGAAAACGTGAGGAAATTAAAACTACATTGGAGTATAAAATAAATTCCAATCACACAATACAGTATAGCGAAAAACTAATGTAAAAGACCTGGAAGTGATCATGTCAGAGGATCTCATCTTCAAAGACCATAACATTGTATCAATCGCATCTGCTAGAAAAATGACAGGATGGATAATGAGAACCTTCAAAACTAGGGATGCCAAGCCCATGATGACACTCTTCTGGTTGCTTGTTCTATCTAGGCTGGAATATTGCTGTACGCTAACAGCACCTTTCAAGGCAGGTGAAATTGCTAACCTAAAAAATGTACAGAGAACCTTCGTGGCACACACAACTGCAATAAAACACCTCAGTTACTGGGAATGCTTGAAGTTCCTCAAACTGTACTCCTTAGAATTCAGGTGGGAGAGATGCATGATTGTATACACTTGGAAAATCCCAGAGGGATTTGTACTAAACTTGCACACAAAAATCACTCCCTATGAAAACAAAAGACTTGGCAGACGATGCAACATCCCCCCAGTGAAAAGCAGGGGTGCCACTAGCATGATAAGAGACAACATAGTAAGTGTCAGGGGCCCAAAACTGTTCAACTGCCTCCCAGCATACATAAGGGGGATTACCAATAGACTCCTGGCTGTCTTCAAGCAGGTACTGGACAGGCACCTAAAGTCAGTACCTGACCAGCCAGGCTGTGGTTCGTACGTCAGGTTGCGTGCGGCCAACAGTAACAGCCTAGTTGATCAGGTCCCGATCCACCATGAGGCCTGGTCACAGACTGGGCATCAGGGGCATTGACCCCCGGAACCCTCTCCAGGTATACTAGGTACCTTTTGGCGCTCTTCCTAAACTGGCTCATGCTATGACGTGCAGGGAGTTAGTTGCACTCCTTTATTGCTCTACAATAAAAGGTGTCTGAAGCTTAACCTCCTACTGTGGGTACTCTTTCCCTATGTGTTCTCTTCCCCTAGTATTATAATTGCTTTGGTTTCAAGCCTTGACAAACTTGGCTGCAAGTTATTCTGAACACTGCTTGTGAGCAATTTTATAAACATGATTTAACTTAAGTTCTTTTACTCTGTCTTCAACATTCAGCATATCCAGTTGTAATTCGTCCTGGCCTACTTGCTCTGTGAGACCTAGATCCAGGTTGAATCTCACCATTTTTTTCTGGGTGATTTGTAGTCTATCTTCAGTTTTGTTTTTGGTTAAAGTGGAGTACCATGAAGAGCAAAAGTAATCTATGTGGCATTGTATAAGAGCTAGACATAGGGTCTCAGTAGGTAGACATTGTGCCTGTCTGTAGAGGAACTTTAGTCTGGCATTCGCTTTCTTTACTACACTGTTTCTTATCAATTATCCTGACTTGCTTGGGTTCAAAGGGATTCCCAGATATTTCACTGAAGATACTGAAGCAATGGGTTTCCCATTGCACTGGACATAAAATTATTTACCTTGTTCAGTTTATTTTTCATGCCAAACAGTATGGCTTCCATTTGCATGTCATTCACATGACATAGGAACAGTAAGGGACCCAGAATACTACCTTGGGGAATCCCCACATGCTATTTGCAGGGTGTTCTGATTCTGTGCTGTTAATCTTGAACAATTTGTTTTCCGTTGCTCAGATAGCTTGCAGTTTCTTACATGATATATTATGAATATTAAAAAGGTATACAATACCAACAGGTTGGTAAGTAAAACACGTTATTATGGTTGACCGTATCGAAGGCCTTTTGCAAGTCTAAGGTCACCATACCAATGAGATTCCCTAGCAACATTTCAGTTCTCAGGTAGTCCATCACATTAATTAGGGAGGTGTCGGTTGAGTAAGATCTCCTGTAACCTGATTGGTATACCTGGAGATGGTTTCAGGGATCAACACCTCCGTGGCCTGGTCTGTGACCAGGCCTGCCGGTGGATCAGGGCCTGATCAACCAGGTTGCAGGTGATTTAGTCTAAGCTTTTGGCACCCCATCCCCCATCATGTCTGCTGGCTGCTACTAGTCTCTCACTCTTGGCTGTGAGCCCTGTCTCATCTTTTCATAAAGCTATGCATGGATTCTGCCTCTGCCACTTTGCTTTTAAGTTGTTCCACTTCCTGACTAAGGGTAAAGAAGTGTTTCCTAACATCCCTGTGATTCATCTGGATTTTTAATTTCCTGCTGTGACCTCATGTACTTGAAACCTGCCTCTCAAACAAAATTCCCTGTCCATTCAACTGAGTACTATTTTGTACCTCATAATCACATCGCCTCTAGTACTTCTGTCCTCTAGTGTCGCCAGGTTTAGCTCCTTTTGCTTCTTCTCATAGTTCATACCCCTTAGTTTTGGGTTTGTTTCATTGCAAATCTTAGCATGCTTTCCAGCTTCTTTACATGCTTTACCCAATACAGGTTCCATACTCCTGCTGCATACTCCAAGGTGGGCCTGACATATGTTGTGTATAAGATTCTGAATACCAGTAGATAGAATGCTGGCAGATATATACCTTTGATATATCTTTGAAGAGTTTCGAGAGTTTATCTACTCTCTGAGCCCGGCCGTGGGCCAGGCTCGTCAGATAGACTGGAGTTTTCAGGAAGAGAGTTCTAGATTTTAGGTTCTTTTATACACATTGAGTTTTTACAAAATTAAGCTGGATCCGGAGAATATCATAGAGACTTTTTTGTCTAGCATTGTGTTTATGAGTTCTTTTACGACTCTCGAGAAAGAGTTTCAGGACAAGATTGATATTATAATTTATTGTCCTGTATATGTAGTATGCACAGTAGTATGAGTGAATTTTATGTATATTAAGTAGGTTTAGGTCTTTGAAGAGTGGTGGAGTATATTGTCTGGCAGTAGACTGGGTGATTATTTGTTACTAGCTGTCCTGTACCAGCTTTTAGCTATTTTTCCCTGAATTTACACCATAAGTAAACACCATAGCATCACGATAAAAAATGCCACTATTTTCAACTGTCATGTGGGTGTGAAGCATGGGTACAACCCATGTTGCAGCAAGGAGGATGCTGGAGACAGTGGAGATGTATCTGAGGGTAGTGTCTGAAGTGAATATTATACAGAGAATTTGTAGCTTGGAGGATAGAAGGAGGTGTAGCATTACTAAAAGTATTATCCAGAGTGCTGAAGAGGGGTTGTTGAGGTGTTTCAGACAGAGAGGATGGAGCAAAATAGGATGACTTGGAGGGTGTATAAATCAGTAGTGGAGGGAAGGCAGGTAGGAGTCATCCTGTGAAAGGTTGGAGAAAGGGGGGTAAAGGAGGTTTTGTGTGCAAGGGGCTTTAGACATCTAGCAAGCCTGTGTGAGCATGTTAGATAAGAGTGTATGAAGGCAGGTGGTTTTTATGACTTTACATACTGTTGGAGTGTGAGCAAAGGGCTTCAGGGAAACTGGTTTGCTGAAATTGAGTCCGGGAGGTGGGAAGTACAGTGCCTGCACTCTTAACCCTTTGAGGGTCGACAGGCCCTCTCCGAAACTCGTTCTCAGGGTCGGCCAAATTTAAAAAAAAAAAAAAATTATTTTCTCTTATGAAAAGATAGAGAATCTTTTCCCGATCATAAAGACACCAAAAGTTTGAAATTTGATAGAAAACTTACGGAATTATGCTCTCGCAAAGTTAGCGGTCTCGGCGATGTTTACGCATCGGCGATTTTGCCCACTTTGAGCCCCATTTTCGGCCAATTTCACTGTACTAGTCGACAAAAAACATGAATATTTCGCTAGAACTCCATTTTTTCTATCGAATGGGTGCAAGAAACCACTCATTTATGAAATTCAACTATCCAGTACAGTGGTCAGAATTTAGCAATTTTGCCAATTTCACAAAAATTTCAAAAGATGCCAATTTCCGAATAGGGTCCAGAATAAACAAGAAAGACATTCCTGGCACTAAAATGACATTTCTCTAGTCATTAGTCACGTCTCAAGGCCCCTCTTATATTTTTTTGCTTTCCCACTTTGAATTTTTATTCTCACAAAAAATATAAGATTTACTGTTATGTAGACTACTGCATTAGTGTAAAAAATGGTTAAATATTATTTGTGCACTTGTGAAAGAATATTAGACTCACCAGTTGACGTGTATTGCACGCTTGGCACGATTTGTTTACTTTTGAAGTTTGGTAAAAATCGATCATTTCTGCTACTTTGAGCTCAATTTCAAGGCACCTTTCATTGTAAAACCAGTCAAAATCATCTCATTTCTGTAATATGTCTTCCATTCTATAAAATGAGACCAAGAAAACTAGAATACAACAATAAATACCATACGAAAATACACTGCAAAGTCGCTGATTTATTAAAAAAAAATGGTCAAAGTTTTTTTTTTTCTCATTATGCACTGTGTGCTGCAGGATTTTTTTTAGACTGTGCACACTGACCACATAGACCCATTCTTTCATATGAAGGCCTACCAGCTTTCTCCCACTAGATTTGAGGCCGCTAGAATTTATGAGTACTAGTACGTCAAAAACCCCTACGCGTAAGACGTACTAGTACGACCAAAACCCTCAAAGGGTTAAGGTAGGGGTGGAGATATTTACAGTTTTGATTGTAGTATCAGCACCCCTCTGGCAAGACAGTGATGGAGTGAGTGATGGTGAAAGTGTTTCTTCTTTCAAGTTGCCCTACCTTGGTGGGAGAGAGCCGGCGTGGTAAAAAAAATATACAGTATACGCAAACAGTATTAAAATACATATGCATTATTTTATTTATTTTCAGGTACTACACATCCATTGGAACATCCAAATAAAAGTGGCAGCAGTGTTGATGCAGAGAATGTTAAGGACTATGACAACCAGGAACTTTTTGAGCAAGCTATTGAATTTGTGGAAAAAAATGATGATTTATTAAATAACATTAAACTTTTAAGTGATAAAAGGGAGGGCTTAAAGCAAGTGAGCAGTAACCTTAAATTGACTGTAGAGGAAGTGAAGAAACAAGCGTTAGTTGCTATTGATGGAGAGTAATGGCCCTATAAAATTAATCCACACATGTTGCATGTACATATATCCGTGATTGCCATCTTGGGAACTCAAATACTCAATTAATTCATAAACACCAAAAAGATTAATTTCCTAGTACTGGTAATTTGATCATTTCTCAAGTTTACTAAAATAAAGCATTAGTAAACATGTATTAGCAATTTCACTAATTTTTATCATTGTACATACATAGTATACTATAGTATTTTGCATATTATTATTATTATTATTATTATTATTATTGTAGTATTGAGTTACATATGCATGGAAGGTGCTAAGCCTTGGTCATTTAGTGATACACAGAAATAGTGAGAGAGATGGTAAGAAACAGGCAGAGGTGTTAGGAAAAGGGCAGTAAAACACAAAAAAAAAAATAGAAGGGGAAAGGGGCCCCA